GGAATATAAACGCAGGAATAGAACGCTGGAATATAAACGTAGGAATAGAACGCAGGAATATAACACGGGAATATAAACGCAGGAATAGAACGCTGGAATATAAACGTAGGAATAGAACACAGGAATATAAACGTAGGAATAGAACACAGGAATATAAACGCAGGAATAGAACGCAGGAATATAAACGTAGGAATAGAACGCAGGAATATAAACGCAGGAATAGAACGCTGGAATATAATCGTAGGAATAGAACACACGGATATAAACTCAGGAATAGAACGTAGGAATATAACGTAGGAATAAAACGCTGGAATATAAACGCAGGAATAAAACGGAAAAATAGAACGCTGGAATATAAACGTAGGAATAGAACGCAGGAATATAAACGCAGGAATAGAACGCTGGAATATAAACGTAGGAATAGAACGCAGGAATATAACACGGGAATATAAACGCAGGAATAGAACGCTGGAATAAATAAACGCAGGAATAGAACGCTGGAATATAAACGCAGGAATAGAACGCAGGAATATAACACGGGAATATAAACGCAGGAATAGAACGCAGGAATAGAACGCAGGAATTGAACGCAGAAATAGAACGCATGAATAGAACGCAGCCTGAATAGAACACAGGAATAGAATGCCCAGTGCGCGCGTGCTCCCCCAACCCTCCCCCACCATTCTCCTCCCCCAACCCTCTCTCCCTCCCCCGCCCCGCGCGCGTGTGCGTCCGGTCTTCCTTGTCTTCTTTGTCTTCCTTGGTGTTTATGAGCAGGTAAGTGGTGCCCTGGTCCTCCACGTGGATCGCGAGCGTGTACTGCTTCGACTGCTGCTGCCTCCGCTGCTCCGAGGTTTCCTCCAGCAGCCCCTCGTCGTCGCTCTCCTGTGCCTCGACGATCTCCTCCACCCGCGCCGTCTTCATGTTGATCGTGCCGATAGGAACCTAGGCAGGGGACGCCGCGGTCAGTACTGCGGGGGAGGAGGCGCAAAGGATGGGGGTAAGGGGAGCCACGATCAGCGATGCAAGTGCCATGGGCGCTGGAGGGCAGGGGACAACGCGGTCGGTGATGCATGGGGCAGGAGGCGCGACGGATGAGGGTGCCGTGCGGCAGGGTACGCCACGGTCAGTATCGCAGGGACAGGGGGCGCCGCGGTCAGTGACGTGGGGGCAGGGGGCACCACTGTCAGTGACGCAAAATAAGGGACGCCGCAGTTGCTGGACAGGGGGAGCTTCGATCAGTGAATGTGCAGTAGTAGTAGCTCAGAGTGACATAACTCATTCCAAGTGAAGGAACTTCATAAGCGCAAGACAACCGATGCTTGCTTGCTTCTGCATACCACGAAGAACAGACCGCGATGTCTAGTTTATGCAAACGTCCAACCTACATAGTAAATTTACCAAAAACACCGTACATATTCCCGTGACATCTACCTTAGATTCTAGATTTTAGATTAGACAAGATCCCTCTCTTGACAGAGAGTACTAACAACACTCAACCGACAGAGAAAGGTTGAATCAAGCATACAGAACGGAGATTTTACTCGATGTCTAGTTTATGCAAACGTCCAACCTACACAGTAAATTTACCAAAAACACCATACATATTCCCGTGACATCTACCTTAGATTCTAGATCTTAGATTAGGCAAGATCCCTCTCCTGACAAAGAGTACTAACAACACTCAACCGACAGAGAAAGGTTGAATCAAGCATACAGAACGGAGATTTTACTCTGAGTCAAGTTTGACCAAACTGAGATGTCTACCCTTTTCTCTCTTAGATCTGTCCACAACAAAGCGTCTACTCTCGATCGTCGAAACAACAGGCATCTTTACGTGACATCTACCTTTGATTAGGCAACAAAAATTTACATCTACCTTAGATTAAACAACAATGAAAGTGTCAATGACACTGTAGCTCACCTTGAGTGTGATAGAAAGAGGGGGGATATATAAAGCAAGAATATATATGGGAGAACTCCCATTATATAGCATATCTCCCATTATATACTCTTGATAATGATATATGCATAAGTTTTGATGCGAAAATAAATGTTTCAGATCTGGTGTTCGAATATCGCGCAAATAAAAACAATAAAATATTCCACTCAAATTACTGTAACGAAGAATCTAAAACACAATATTACACGTATATAGGTATGATTGTAGAGTTGTTGACCAGTTAGACGAAATAAACGTAATAGGACGTTGTCATCTCTCCCAAGGAATAACAACTGTTTTGGGGCTAGCCTTACACATTCACATAACAAAATGGAATGAATTTAGATGGCCATTTTAATTTTTGCCAAAAAAATGGGCGTGGCTCAAACGTAGGTCAACTGGCGTGCTCCAAAATAGGAAGTTCAAATCTCTCCCATAGAAGTAACAACTGTATTCAATTTGAAACATGTGGGTCAAACGGTTCTTGAGTTATCGTTGATCGTAGGCAGACAATAAAATGCATAGTGAAATTGCCAAAATCTACTTAATTTGCATAATTTAAAAAAAATCAAAACCTGTGTGATATGTTTTGGGGCCAGTCCTTATTCATTCACATACCAGAAATGAGCAAAATCCATTGAACCTGAACTGACTTATGG